TGCATGAGTCCACTAATCTTAGATTCCTTAACTTGGGGTGTTCCTTCATGTGTGACACATAATTTTTGCCAAATTTTGTATGCGGTTGCACACGTGGAAACCCTATTGTATTCATTGGGGGAAAGACCACAGATTAAGGCGTTCATGGCCTTAGCATTGAGATTGGCAAGGTGCCTTTCATCATCGGACATGTTCTCAACTTTGGACTTCTCTACATATTTCTTTTCTATGAGCCCTAGGATGTCAAGATCAATGCAACGAAGGTAAATTCTCATCCTAGCCTTCCAATAAGCAAAATTGGTCCCTGTGAAGAGAGGTGGTCTAGTGGTGGATTGTCCTTCCAACATATGCATATTCAAAGAGGCCTCCATTAGATCTTTTCTCTAAGGCGATTAAACCAAAAACTGATATAGAGACTAAGCTCTGATACCAAATGTTGGACCCTAGAGGGGGGTGATTAGGGTCAAGAGGCTCTAATATGCAATATAAATTCAGCACAAGCAAAACACAAAACAGAAATGCGATAAAAGTAAGAGAGATAGGGTTAGGAGTTCGTTATCCTTGACGCGCGATGTGTTAACGAGGTTCGGCCCTCTGGCCTACGTCCCCGCTCCCCACTCTCGAGGAGAAATCCACTACACACCCGGTTTGGAAGCCGAAACTTCGTCTACACAGCGATCCCACACGATCTCTCTCACTACACAGTTTGATCTCAACAGATCACACCCTCACAGTAGATCTTACACAAGATCTCACCCTCACAGCAGAAGAAAAGATGCAAGAACCTCTCTTTACACAGCCCCTATAGCAAAGAGTAGGTTTACTGAAGCTGGAAAGTGAATCACACTTTAAAACAGAGAGAAAACAGGATTTGAAAATTTTTCTCAGCAAACAGAAAGCTCTCTCTAGTTTTCAAACGTTAGGGCTTAGGAAGAAGAAGCAGTCTGGGGGTTTTTATAAAAGAGTTTAAACCAATTAAAAACAAAAACCCAATCTTCCTATTTAGGAAGATAATCTTCTTTTCAGACTCTCAGCTCAGACTGTGCCAAACACTAATAAGTGAAAGCACAGCGAACGAGGCAAAAACCGACCGTTTAAAAAAGTCACGGCTGACCAAAGACACAAATCGGTTGACCGAAGGGAATTTCGGTCAACCGAAAAAATGCTTCAGTCGACCGACCGAAAATTTCGGTCGACCGCTGACAACCTTGAAAACTTGGAAAACAAGCAGAGACACCGTCGGTCGACCGGCGCGGTCGACCGATTTGAAAGTTGAGATTTCGGTCGACCGTACCGGTCGACCGATGACCTCTCTGGAAAATAGTAAGGAATGACCATGTGAGCGGTCGACCGGACCAGTCGACCGCTTTCTGACATTCTGCAGAAAACAGTTTTTAACCAACTTTAAATATTTGCAAAATATTTATTTGACCTCTAACAAATCTGAAACTTTGTAAAATGTTTTTAATACTAAAGACAAACTGTTTAGAAAAGGAATTTTGCAGATAGGTCCTCATACTTATGAAAAATAGTATTTTGTGAAAAACGCTTAAAAACTAAGTATGAAATCATGTGTGTGATTCCCAATAGCTTCAAGTAAAATCAGTAACTCTTTGCCTACATTCTAGCACTAGAGAGAGAAACAAAAGAAAGCTAATATCCTCATATAGAGAGCAATACTTGAGCTTTGATGTAGCTTGAATCGGATGAAGCTTGTATTCGAATTTGACGTTCTTAAAATAACGTTGCTTCATCTCTTGGCCTCCTCCACCTTTGGATATCTTCGTTGTACCGTATATTCCATCCATCCTCCGTTAATGGCACTAACGAGCTTGATAAATGAATTTACTACATTCTCACTCAATAAGCTATTAGTACCGATAATGGTGGTTGTAAAACATCATCAAAACATAAGGGCTAACATATATCCCCTTTTTGATGATGACAACCAACCATTATATAAGAGCAAAAATAAAATAGCTTATAGATAGGTGCTCCCCCTATCTATGAGCTCCCCCTAAATATATGCAACAAATGAGGAGATTTCTCTCCCCCTTTGTCACCATAAAAAATGGGGTAAAGAACCCGTATTCCTCAAACAAGAAAAATTGTAAGAGGATTTACTTATTGTTGTTAAAAGACTAATTTGGCCTCAAACAAAATTAGTAATGAATTATAAAGTTTCGTGGAATAAGTATTAAGCAAACAACCTGTAAGAACGGAGATGAAGTAAAAGAGTGGACTTGTAAGTTTAAAGTCACAAGGCGTTCATACAACGCCTTTTAAGGAAAAAAAAATGCCGACATGACTTGAAATTCTTACACTGGAAGCAATTTTCTCGATATTTCTGCCTAAAAATTGGAATTCAGTAACGCAATTTTTAGCAAAGCTTGGCCGTGGATAGGGAATTGAGCAAATTGGGAAGGACCAAGGGAAAAAAGAAGGAAATAGTAGGAGAAGGGGACGCAGTTTGTATCAGGTTATACTACTTATTACAAAGGCTTAATTGTTAATGGCCATCCTCTAGCGATAGAGCTAGGTGTCCATCAGGCCCAAGGCTCGGGACCGGCCCAGAATCCAATCCAGACCCGGCCTGTTCCGACCCTGGCTCGGGCCCGGAACAAGTCGAGAAACACGGGCTGACCGGGTTCCGAGCCTTGGCTCTCGGGCTCGGGTTATCTTAATGAAGCAGCCTTGGGTTATCTTAATGAAGCATGGGCCCGGCTCGGTTATTTTATATATATATATATATATCATACTCCCTTTAAAAATACGAGTTCAGGAAAATCTTTCTATGGTCAATATTACCCTTAACTATTTGAATATTCTTTTTAAATTTAAATTTATTATAATCATAATTATATCCTATCCTAATCCTATGTTAACTACTTACATGTCAATAATTTAAAGATTAATAAGCTATAATATATGAAGATTGTAAAAAACCTAAAAAATTTCAAAAATTACATAAAACATCCTTAAAAGTATAAAATTACACAAAACATCCAGACGTTTCAAAACTTAAAACAACAAACATGAAACCTTTAATATTTTAAAAACTATAAAAACACCCTCAAAAGTTTAAACACTTAAAAAGCAGTATGAAATTTTGAAAATTTCAAAACTTGCGAATAACAAAGACAAATTCAAGGAATTACTATCAGACACTTAAAGACTAAAATGTGTAAAAAAACCTCAAATTAAAAAAATTCCAAAAAACTCCTTCAAAAATTAAAAAAACACAGGAAACCCTAAAATTTAGTAACTTAAAACCAATACATATAAAATCTAAAAATTATCAGCAGACCGCTAAAAATTTAAATTTTGTAACAAACAATCTAAAGTTTTAATAATTACAAAAAATACCCTTAAAATTTAGAGTTACAAGAAATATTCTGACATTCAAAAACATACTACCAACACATGAAACATGAAAATTACAAGCACTTAACTTAAAATTTAAAAATTATAAAAAATACTCTCAAAGTTTTAAAATTTGCAAAAAACACCCTTAAAAATTCAAAATCATGAAAAAAAGACTAAAATTTCAAAACATAGCAAAAAAAAAAGAGTAGTTATTTGATATTCTTTCATTAAGATATGCAAATTTAACTTTTATTTTAAGGTTTTACTATCATTTTTTGGCATCTAAAAGTAGTCTAATTTTATCGAAAAAGATAAAGGTGGAGAAGGATTGATAACGTCTAATTTTAAGGCACTATTTTCTGAATATTTTAGAGAATAGACTTTTTTGGAGTAAATTAGGAATTTTTGGAAGGGATTTTCATAAACTTTTTTAGTACTTTATATGCTTATGTGGATGTTTTTATTATATAAAAGTGTACTAGATTTAGTATTAATCTTTATTTTATAATTTTTTAAAGTCTATTAAAGATTAGGAACAAACTCCATATTACCTTTTGTGTCATTTTTGCCCACTTTTAACCAATCATCTTGTCTTATGATCTTTAATTATTCATTTTCCTTTTGGAACGCTATTTTTTGAAGTGTTTTTACTTTTACAATGCTATATTTTCTCAGGTCAAGCTTGGTTTTATGTTGGTCTCAAAGACATGATAAGTCAAATTAGTTTCGGATTATATATATTTTCTGTCAATTCAATTATTAATATAAAAATTTAAATTGGGTGTAGTTCATTTAAACGAATTTTAAAGAATATAAATAATTTACTTAAATGAATATTAAAGAAAATAAATAATCACATTGCTAAAGTTTAGATATATAAGTAAGCAAAAACCATCAAAATGGAACCGAGGAACAAGTTTTAGTAAGAAAATAAACCAAATATACTTAATCGTGATATTTGACCACACGCATTGCACATGCATAAAACCTAGTGTGTGTGTGTGTGTGTATATATATATATATATATATATATATATATATATATATATATGCGCTTTAACTGGTGCCTATCAACAATAGTAGGAGTCTCTCCCTAGCAAAAGAAAATGAGAGGAAGACATAATCAATTGAAGGGATCAATAAAAGACTGAAACATACGTTAAGGCTAAATAAATTTCAGAGGAGTTTCACATTGCATTACATGAGCAATACAGGACGTACATCATTTTCTAACATGTCAAAAGTTTGTCAAGTGGGCTACAATTGTTCAAGTTCAAAGATGGGTGGCCCAATTGGCAGATAAGACAATCAAGCTTTCGCCCGACAGAGTCCAATATACCTAGATTTCCCTTCAAGTAACATATGCCTTACATCTCACCCGTGAGGAATTTCTATTCAGCCCAAATGGTTTATTTTTATTTTTTTTATTTTTTGGTGGTTACAGCATTGTATGTTACATAGTTTATACATAATCGTCTATCGCATTAAAATGAAAAACTCTATTCATTCATGCCTTTTAGACTCTACGTAATTTAACTATATAAGTGGATTAAAAATAGAATGATATGCGGAACTAACTGATAAGACATTTTTATCAACGGCAACGCCTGTGTCCGTTTGTCGCAATAAACTTTCGAAACTTTACTCCCAAGGAAACATGACAAAAGGAAAATTCAATCAATTTTCTTTCTTCTTGTAGTTATACAAAAATACATCGACATTTCAAGACATCTCCTTACTGACAAAGCTGCTTTATATTGATCTCTTGGTGCCAATAATGCCAAAAGCTGAGCAACTAGTGTATCAATGAACAAAAACAACGTCATTGAAATCAGTAGTCGCAGCCTATAGAAGTTCTATTGTCTCCATGGAGTAGTAAAATTTGTGACGTATTAAGGGTGAAACTCTGCATTGGCATCCTGGGCATGAAATTCATCGATCCATAGGTGTTCATAGATTCCAATCCTTTAGCAATCACCAACTACCAATTTGAGCCCCCTTTGCAAGCATCTTATCTGTCCTCGCTTGTAGCCATATAGGCCTTATGAATAGATGAATTAGTTGCCCAATTCTCATATTCACCTCTCTCTAAGTCTACCAAGAAATCAGAAGACAATCGTCAGCATATATGAGCTCTGCAATCAACACTTTATCATCAAAAGTTAAATGGTCTTAATGTAAGGCATTTGTTCATATTAGTGCTGTAATTTGTCTCTGTGTACATGTAATTCCTTGTAAGAATCACATTTCAAGGGTAGCCTCCGAAAGAAAACAATCATGCATGTCCAGGTGACAGACAATGGTCAAGAAAATAATACGAAACTATGAAATAAGAGGCATGAAAAAACTAAGAGGTAGATGAAAGTCTAAAATAAAGTTTAATTCATCTATAAAACTAAATTTAAGATCATCGTCTAACGCCTTTCCATAGCCAAAGAATTTAGGTTTATAAGAAGTTTAATATTATCTATAGACTTGATATCAAAATCCTATCCTAATCAAATAACTGTGCCTTTAAGAAAATAAGGCTTATACTTAGGAATACGCTTATATTTCAAATAGGTTTAGTACTACGTTAGCATTTACCGTTTATAGGGCATTTTAAACCTTCCCTTAAACCCATGATCCCACCCCCTCATAATAACATAACGCCCCCTTCAAATCTCAACAACAGAGAAAAACAAACATGCACTTGCACACACTCCTAAGAAAAAAAAGGAAGTAAAACTCATAGCCTCTGCTAATCCTCCTTTACTACCTATATTTTTATTTATATCGAAGAACACTCATAGCTCCATTAAAACTTATAGGTTCATAACTAAGCTTCATACAAGTTGTCTCAGTTGTCTTGCTCCAAGTTTTTAAGTTGTTCAGTTTTATACTTTGTTATGTGTCCCAATAGTGCTTCATGAGAAGTCGATTCACTGACTCCATCAATCTCCGTGGTTTTTCATTCTCTTATAGCTTACTTTATGCTAATTTAGTCTAATTCGTGATAAAACTAAAAAACAATTTAATTATTTCAATTATTCAGGAAAACAAATGGATAGTACAAGCTAATTATCTTATCTTTATGACGTAATCATATAGGGTAAAACCACTTAAAGAGAACATTCGTACTAGAAGATATTCAATGATTTGTTGTCTTTAATGGAGGAGTCTAGATTATATTCATTAAATGAGGATTTTCCTTTATTATATGTTGTCTTTTGTTATTAGAGTTTTCCTATTTAGAATGTTTCCAAGGTGTACAAATATGGTGTGGTACCTTTTCTTCATAATCGGTGAGAATATAATAATTTTCTTCTTTCGTTTATTTCAACCCATGTCAAAGGTGCCTACTGCAACACCATCCAAAATTTTGATGTGGGTTGAGGGTTATAATTTTATACTTTGACATGCACTTGTAGGTCGAGTAATCTTTCTATAGACCAAAGCCTAGACTCATGTGGAAGTAATAATTTTTTAAAATCCTTTTTAGATTCATGGCTGATGTGAATTGAACCTAGGTTGCTTTGATACCATGTCAAGATCCTTGCGACTACAACAAAACTCTGAATTTTTGATGAGGGGTGAGAGTTATAATTTTATAATCTAACAGTTATAAAAGAACTTCACATTCTTTTTTGATCTGAAAATTCCTGTATGTAAAATTCAATGAGAAACGGACCTATTGTTGCAAAAGCCAACAAGGGTCATCATCATGCATAAAAATCAGCATCCTGTTCACAGAAAAGACATCAGGAAACTATTAATTGGAAGGTACCAAAAATTTCCTAAAAAATGCAAATGCTCCTATAGAAAAGAATCCTTGTCAAGGCATTTAAATACCATTGTGATTTTCTAGAGGAATCAATTGTCAGTAACTCAACTTGTTATAGCTGATAACTGAAAATTTAATTTTAAGTAGCTAGGGACGGAACGGAAAACCCAATCATTATTCTCTTCTTTCCATAAGACTTGTCAGAATTATATGCTTATCAAACAATTTATCTATGTTCATCAAGGAGTAGAAGGTTTAATATAATGATTCTGAGGTATATTTAAATGAAGAACAGTTGGATTTCAGATATATTTGCTAATGATAAATCATAAGTGATATACCATGCTGAAGGACTGAAGGAGATAACATGTCCCTTTCTCATAACATATCTCTCACCGAATAGTGTGGGAGATAACCTGTCAAACATTAATAGTCTTAAACACAATGCAGAATAGAGAGAGAGGGGAAAAAACAGAACTCATATCAAATATTTAGCTGCATATCAATTCACCAATTTAGGTAGGGTATGAAGATAATGATGATCTGAAAAGATTCCTAAGATGGTGCAGCTTTTATGGAAGAATTACACTCCACAGTATGCAACTACACATGCTATTCTGGTGAAAAAATAGCACATCGTGAAAACCTATGCATCATTCTAATAAGAGGGTAAAAAAAGGAAAAAAAACCTAACAAATTGGACTCCTGGGACAAGAAAAGTGTGAGTAGTACCCTTCTTTATAGGAAGCCATATTTCATTGAAAGCCATGTGACAAAATTTAGAACAACAAGAAAACCTTTCCCTGAAATTTTTTGGATCGGCTACACACGAATCCTTCTATCCCCCTCAGTTCTTTTGAGGGTTATCTCCTCAACAAAGTTAATGATTATCATATCTTACTTAACACCATCTACCCAAGTTCTCTTAGGCCTGCCTCTAGTACTCCTTTCCCCATTAATTATAAGATTATCAATTTCCTAATTGGTATATTTAAAGACCTCTATTGCGCGTGACTAAACCATTTTTTACGATTATTTCTCATTTTATCCTCAATGGGAGCAATCTGTAACTTCCTGTGAGTGTGCTCATTTCTTTATCTTATATCTTAGTGCATGTCCACTCGTTCATCATAACATTGAATAAAAAAATTATAAAACTGAAAAATTGGCATCTTAGATCAGACATATTTAAGGATGAGAAAAAATTAGAAACCAATCTAGTTCAAGACGATCAGATGTATGGGTTCATTACCTGTAATTTGTGCCCCACATAACAGAGTTACTGGATTTCCGGTTACCCATGCGATAGAACGTTTCTGGTGTCAATGATGGTCCCGTTGGATTCCTTGTTGCTTTGAACAATATCCTGTGACTTCATCACATAAATAATCACCAGTAATCATTGCATGAACAAACTCCATCCTCAAAATGATGAAACCGATTCATATCTCTCACAATGATTTTGCGCAGAACAACCTTTGATATCAACGTGAATGCAGCATGACAATCTAAGCAGAAACGAAGATTCTTAATGATGCGTATTGGACGCCCCAGTGGTACCTTTACAAGGCCAAATGCTAAGGCCAATCTCTCACTGTGCATCCACAATAAACGTCCCTTTTCTTCTTCTCCAATATCATGCAAAATCACAGTACTATCGGGACTATAACCCGCTTTTTTAGCTTTATTATTCAGCCATTCCAACATTGCCTTGATTAACTTAATATCTGGATGAGTTTCATCTCCCACAGTAAAACAATGTGTTTCACCCTGGATCTCAATCCAGCTAAGACCAGGTTCCTTCTTTACTCCTCTGCTTCTCATTAACTTCCTTGTGAGAGCCACATTCTCCCATATACCAGCCTTTGCATATATATTTGACAACAATACAAGTGTGACCTCATCCTCTGGCTCAATTTTAAGAACCCTCTCTGCACATATATTTCCTAACTGTACGTTCTTGTGAATTAGGCACGCATTAAGTAATGCTCGCCAAACCATCACGCTAGGTTCATTAGGGATTTGGTCAATAAAGTTCATGGCCTCATCAAGATGACCTGAGCGACCTAAAAGCCTAACCATGCAAGCATAGTGCTCCATTTGTGGTTTAATACCATAATCTCGTATCATAGAATTAAAGTAAGCTCGGCCCTCATCCACTAAACCTATATTGCTGCAAGCTGAAAGTACACCAATAAAAGTCATGTCATTGGCTATGATTCCATCTTCCTTCATCTTACTGAAAAACCCTAAAACAACTTCACCGAGACCATGGATAGCATGCCCAGATATCAGAGCATTCCATGATATTACATCATGATCATCCATCATGTCAAAGACCTTACAAGCATCCCTGATGTTCCCACACTTGGCATATGAATCAATTAAAGAGTTGCCAACAACATTATTATGAATTAATGGGGTTTTAGCAATCAAAGCGTGAAGTTGGATTGAAGGCTCGATAGCTGCTAAGCTTGCACAAGCCTTGAGGGCACTAGAGTAGGTGACTTGAGAAGCAGGTACCTGAGCATCTCTCATTTGGCAAAAGAGTCTCAAAGCTTCTTCTCCGAAACCCAAGTTTACATAACCAACAATCACTGTGTTCCAAGCCACATCATTCTTATGAAGCAACCCTGAGAAGATCTCCATTGAAGCTTCCATGCATCCGCACTTTGCATATACATCAATAAGTGCATTTGCAACGAAAGCTTCCGAGTCAAGACCAATCGTCACAACATGGCCATGAACTTGCCTGCCCAAGTTCAAGGACCCCATATTCGAACAAGCTTTTAAAGCACTAGAGAAGCTATATTCATTAGGAACTACTAGATTTAGCATCATTCTCTGCAAAAGCCCCAAAGCCTCTTCGTTCCGATTGCTATGTGCATACCGAGAGATCATAGAGCTCCAAAGAATGACATTGCAGGAAGGAATCATCTCAAAAACACAGCAGGCATCCTCAATGTCTCCACATTTTGCATACATATCGAGAAGAGCCGCACCTACGTAAGGGTCTGATTCATATTGGGTCTTTATCGAACAACCATGAATGCTCTTGCCTAACTCAAGTGATTCGAGAGAAACAGAGGCCTTGAGCACACTGGTCAATGTAAAGTTGTTAGGCCTCAAACCAACCCCCGACATTTGAGAGAACAATTGCAAAGCCTCATAGGGATAATCATTATTGGCATAGCAAGAAACCATCCCCGTAAAAACAACAACATCCTTTCCCAAAATCATATCAAACACTTTTCTTGCACACTTAATGGTCCCACAACGCGAATAAATATCAATTAGAACGGATCCAACAAAAGCATTTGAGTCAAAACAAAGCTTTAGAACAAGAGCATGAATATATTCACCAATTTGAGGCCAATCCCAGTCGACAAATAGCTTCAAAGCCGTAGTGAAAACAAACTGATTAAGCTCATGTCCTTCTCTATGGAGCCTGCAAAGAAACTGGAACGCATCAAAAAATTCACCAGATCTAGAAAGCCCCTGAATTAAGGTGACAAAAGAAACCACATTTCTCTCGGGCATTTCGTCGAACAGTTTACGTGCATCCGTTATCAGTTCAGATTTGACATACAAGTCAAGAAGAATGTTTCTACAGAACAAATCCAAGCAGTTTCCTCTCTTTACTGCATGACAGTGAACAGCTTTCCCTTCCTTTATATTGCAGCTAGTAATGCGAGACCTCAAAGCATCGGCATATTCATAAGAATCAAAAATTTCTGAAGGGTTCGTCAAGTTCTCATCTGTGATAAAAAATGTAGTAGGGTTTGCAAGAAAATTGCGGTGAGGGGAGTAAATTGAAGGATTGGATTGACTACGAACGAGAGTTGGCCATCTGGGTTTTCTAAGTTTGAGAAGCTTGATCATGGTTTACAATGACGGCATGAATGAGGAGAAAAATGTCAGTTTTTTGTTGATCTCCTTATGTTCGAAGCATCTAAAGAGGACGCATTTGGATTTGGGACTTCTATGGATGGAGATTGGAACTTGAAGAAGAAAAAGAAGCGAAGCTTGAATAAGCTGCATGGGTCGGGCTTTTATTTTTAGGCTAAACTAGTACTCTCAGTCCAATCGATGCATGCATGTACAGTTTACATTACGTAAAAAATTATTAGCGATAGCTTAATAATTTGTGATAAGTAATAATTTATTTAACATGTCAGGGGGAAAACGTTCTATAGAGTATTGAAATAGACACTTTATATTGAGAGAGAACTTTTGAAATATATGAATAAGGAACACAATTTTATTATCTTGCAAACAACATAGCTTGTGAGTGATGGTAGAAGATGACATAATTTTGATCACTGTTTTTGGCATAAGATAATTACATAAGAAAGGAGAGAGAATCATATCATATCATATCATACTTTCTTTAAAAGCCACGAGTTCGAGTTTTTTTTCCTTGGTCAATATGACCTTTCACTTTTTAAAATATTTTATTTAAATCTTAATCTATCATAATCATAATTATATTCTATTTTAATCTCATGTGAATTACCTATAGCTTAATAATAATAAAAAAATTAATAAGTTAAATAAAATATTAAAACAATAACAAAAAAACCCAAAATTTTTCAAAAATTGCACAAAATACTCTCAAATATTTAAAATTACACAAAACACCATCACATATCAAAACTTAAAATAACAAACATAAAATTTAAAAATTAACAGCATCCTCTAAAGAATTTGAAATTTATAATTAACACTCTTAACACTTCAAAAATTATAGAAACACCCTTAAAAGTTTAAATTATAAAAAAAGACCCTAAAAACTTGCAAACAATATAGACGAATTATAGGAATTGCCATTAAAGTTGAAAATAGATTCCCCTTTCTCCACGGTAAAAAGCTCTTTGTCGCATCAATTAAGCCTCAGGGATGATAGAAAAAGATAATACATGAATTATTGTTAAAAAAACTAAAAAATTTCAGAAATTACACACAACACACTCAATAGTTCAAATTACATAAAACATGCTGACTTTTCAAAACTTAAAACAACAAGCATAAAATCTAAAAGGTAGTAGTAGCCCCCTAAAATTTAAAATTTATAATTAACACCCTCAAAGTTTTAAAAATTATAGAAACACTCTCAAAAGTTTAAAATAGCAAAAACCATAAAATTTAAAAAATATACTGATAGATTAAAATTTAATATCATTATCTAAATTAAAGTAATTGCATATAATTTTACTCAGAAGTTGGAGTATGAAAAATACAGAGGTAGCATTAATTGATAGAAGACTAAATCACTTAAAATTAATAAAAGACTGTAATATAATAGATTAGCATTATTTGATTATATTTTATAAACATTATTCTCTAATGTTAGTAATATTCACAGGGTAAAAAATATTCTTTGATGTTAATAATATTCTCAGGTTGAAAAATATAATGAGTTACATATGGAGAGACTATTAAATTGTTCAGAGATATCCTTCAAAATGATCTAGCCTTTTCATTTTAAATAGAAAAGTGAACAAAATAACCCAAAATTCATAAAGTTTCATGAATCACTTAAATTAATATTAATAAGAGACATATCTATCAAAGAAGCACCAACTGGTTTCCATTGGAGAACATATTAAACAACCTTTTCCAATCAAGAAGTATTTTTTAGAAGATACAAGAAATATTAGTAAGTTTTATAAAATTTTACATTTTATTCTTCAAATACTAAAGGAGTCATAAACTTATTATATAATTAGATATAGATGATATTGCAATAGCAACTAATGTGAAGCTATTGATCAACTATATTATGAGATATAACAAACCATACAAGAAGAGGAAAGTCACTAAAATTTACAAAAGGTATGCACGTAATACTTACTTAAGAAGCAAGACAAAAGGTGGGAAATCACTATAGTGGATAAAATATATACACATGATACTTACTTATCATAGCTTAAGAAAAAAAATTAAAATCGATATTTTTCTTTTTACTATATAGTAGCATGCCTCTAAGTGTAACATTATTTAAGAACATGGCTGTAAAACCCCGAAATTTCTACAATAAATATATGTGAATTATTAATAGTGAATAATTCTCTTATGATGAATAATCATATATATATATATATATATATATATATATCAGATGAATGTAATTATCTGTGTTTGAGAACCCAACAAGTGTTTATAAGTGAGAGAAATCGAGTGTTATGGCCAGCGTGTGAAATGCCTAGCAGCAGACATTTTTGTGCTACGCGGTCGACCGACGCGATCGACCGCACAGCGGTCAAAGAGTTTCCAGGTTTGGCTTTCTTTTACGGATTTTGTTTTGGTCTTTTGGGTTTCGGGTCAGGTTAGGGAATTAGTATATATACTAATTCAACCCAGGAGAGCCTCTCCTCATCTCAGACTTAAAACCCTAGCCCCCATCTCTCTTCTCTTAAAACCCTAGCTGGATCTGGCGATTTGACGAGTTCAGAGGATTTTCAGGGGATTTTCACAGATTAGATCGAAGGAGGATCATCTTCAGGGCAGTTGTCAGCATCTAAGGCGAGTATCATCTCGCCCAATCCCTCACCCCTGTTTTATATGATTTTCTTTTGGATTTTTATGAGTTTTGAGGAGGCAAAATGGTATTTTTGTATAACAATGAACTCTCTATAATATGGTTAACAAGAATCAGAGGTTTCAGTTTATAAAAAATTCACCAACGTTCTGTTTTATAAAGATCTAGATCTGAAAATTTCCAAAACAAGAGTTAAATCATTTTTTTACAGTTATTAAAACATTTTTGGTTTGTTTCTCATGGATTTAGAATATTGAAAAGGTAGATTTCAAAACTTTGGATTTGTTGTTTATCTTCAGTATGATTTTTGAATCATTAAAACCCTTGTTATCGTAGAATAACAAATCTTTGTTTCAGGTTTCGAGTTGACAGAAACCAAGATTTGGGTTTTTGTCCGCTTGGCGGTCGACCGGAGCGGTCGACCGCTGAGCTCGTTTTAGGGCTGCGGTCGACCACAATGTCATTTCGGTTGACCGCGACGTTCTGTCGGTCTACCGCATCGGTCGACCGCCGCACTGTCTGTTGCGAATTCCTGTTTTGTGTATTTTTAAGCATTTTACTCATGTTCGAGTGTTTGCCTGGATTATCTGACTTTGGTTTTTAGTCTTACTATGTACCCATGCATGATAGATGACCTGAGGGTATAAATTGGGGACGTACACACTGATTTGAGTGTGAATTGATAAAAGTAGATTTCACTATGTATATCACAGCGATATTTTCACTATTCCACAGTCCTCGTGTTGGACTATAATCCATAGAAGTCCTCGTGTTGGACTATAATCCATTTCAGTCCTCGTCCATAGAAGTCCTCGTGTTGGACTATAATCCATTTCAGTCCTCGTGTTGGATATTTGCCACTTATTCCTTGAGTTTGGAGACTACAATATATATATAGTTCTTGTTTCGGACATAGTTCTTAACCCTGCATATGACTATTTTACAGCAGATCACGACATGATAATTATGAAGATTTTGACATAACACTTATGTAGGTCTTGACATGATATTCATGTAAGTAATAACATGATACTCATGTTGGCTATGTCACAGCACTATAATTTTGCTCTGGCATTTGTCGTATTTCTTTTATTATTGTTACTGTACTAGAACCTTGGGTTTGGTATTTAGGAGTTTACAACTTGAGATGTAAGGTATATACATGAGGGTTTCCTTGTTTGGATTAGTTCGCTCGACGTACCTATTCTCGTGTTGTACATTTCTAAATACTAATACCCTCTTTAGTAAGATCAATGATTTTAGATCTATTTTTCTTATACAACGAGCCCTGTTCCCTTGGGGTTGGTTGTGATGTTACTCGCTAGCGCTTTAACACTCGTTGTCCCTCCCCCTTTCAGGTAACGATCCAGGAGCCTGGAGAGTCGCAGGTTGATGGCGATGCATTTTAGCTTCAGCTGTCTAGTTAGTTATATGTTTTATTTGGGGCTCCACTTTAGATTTTCTTTTGTGTAGACATTTGAGAGTCTTGTTCTAGAAGTTGTAAAGGCTGTGTGCCTTATTTCCTCTTGTCAGACATTTGTATCTGAGACTTATTGAGTATTCCAGTTATATATATTCAGACATTGACTATGTATTTCTGTATGTTGGATGATGAGATATTTATATGATTTTATTTCATCAGTATTTCTTGTGTTATCTTTCACTTGCTTTTGTACCTACACCTATTGTTGATTCTACTAGATAGATGTCAATTGTGATGGTGAAACATGTTATTGCACGGTGTGGTGCATGGCAGGTTTAACATTCTTGGTTTCACCTTGGACTGCAGCCTTGTGTGAACCCAGGGGCGTCACAATGGCTATGAAAAAATGATCAAGATAAGCCCATAATAGCATTATTAGATTTTATGATCTCTAAATATGAAGGTAATATATTTTATTACAAAAATTCTTATTAAATGCCACTAAACATAAAGTTTACTTTATATCCATCTCAAATTTGCCGGGAGATGTGCACGTCATCGCAATTTTGCGTCGTGTGTGTGTGTGTGTGTGTATAAACCCAAAGATTCAACTAACTAAATAAATAAGAGAATAGTTAATAAACCAAGCAAAAATCCATATAACACAAGAAACAACAAATATTATATTTTTAAGTTAATATGCAGGGCTCATTCAGAACAAGCTATCAAGATAAAAGCATCTCCACCAAGGCTCTTCACAAATACAATAAAAATTTTAACTTAGTAATATTATGCAAGAATTACAACATTTGAAAGAGGTTGGTCCTAAAAAATCTACTCTATAATTCACACAATTAAACCTAATTAAAATTTTCAATGTACAGATACGATATTGCACATTTAAGGTAAAAATAAGTACCAGTTATAGTAGACTTGAGCTGTGGCTTTACGCTTGTTTGGGGAGAAAATTAATTTCTTCATTGATGAGTTCATTACAACTTTAAACACTTACAACAAACTCAAAGTGTTGAATATCAAGTCTCCATGATATTATTTTGATGATAATAATTTATACAATGTGTGTTA